CCACTTTGCCTGGAAACTCAATGAGTGAGTTTGAGCCAGTCACAGACTCTGACCCAACCTACTTCACATGATTGCTGTTATGAGGATAACATGGAATATGTGAACTGCCTGGGGATCTGCACAAGAGGAAAAAAGCCTGTGTATAGATAATAATAATAAAATAATGATATAGGTTGCGCATAAGGATAATACGTGCTGATAGAGACATCCATCTTTCAGGACCATCATTACCTTCTCATATTCCACACATTCAGTGGCTTTGTTATATTCCATAAAGCAGAGACATATTCTTTGAAATTCTTCAATGACCCCGGTAGCCAACAAAAATTTAGATGCCACATTACAGAAAGACAAGAAGGATTGGACAGAACGAAAGGAGGCAATAAACATTTCCTGGGCAGAAACACCAGCAGTTCTATTCTCTAAAAAGCAGGTCTATGTCCAGAGTGAACTGGGCAAAGAACTAAGTATGTGCTTCTTTAAACATGATGCTTTATGCTTCACAAAGATTCATAGCCTTTTCCATGTTCCATGCAATCATGCACATGACAATGGCAATAGAACATGGTATGTTTTTGTCTGTTCACTCAAACTTCCTGTCTCCCTCCCCATGGCAAGATTTTACCTGTGGTATGTTGTAGAGATTTAAGATGTTTGCCATGTGGAATGAGATATCAGAGCCGAGGGCCCCTATGACAGTGATGATTTTTTTCTTCTTGCCACACTGGAAGTTGGGGAGAAACTCATGTACTTTGAAGAGGAGGTCCAAGGTAGTGCGATAAGTCATCCTTGCATCATAGTAGCTGTCATAGATGTGAAAGCCAAGGGTGATGTTGGGTAGGATGGTGGGGCTCTCATTGATCTCAGTTACAGCAAATGCCAAGGCCAGAAGGTTCTGATAGAACTTTGGCACCGCACTGAAATACAGAAGAATATGTCCTGATGCGTAACACTGCATGGAGGAGGAGGAATTTGGATTTGCACGCTATGCTCCAAAAACACATACACATGTACACACACAATCCATTAGTATACGTTTGCATCTTTGTGATCCTTTCAGTATCCTATAAGAAAAATATTGCAATAAACCCTGTCCTCTCAGCTGCATTTACAATTCTGCTCTCTGGGCATTTTCCAGAACAAGTTATTTTATTGCTTTTGTGGGTCAGCAATGGCAGCTCCCACAATTGCTCCAGCTCAGCCCCCTGGCCATTCCTTCCTTTTGGAGGGTAGAGCTTTGTGTGCCAAACAACTTGCCCTGCACCCACTCAACTTGCCTGTCCTTGGGTATCCCACAGTCAACATTGAGGTAAGATTTGACTGCCAGTCCAGCTGGCTTCATGGAAGGTAGGAACAGCATCTTGTTTTTTGCTTCAGGAAACAGAATGTCATGGGCCAGCTCTGAAATTTAAGATTCCAGCCTAAAATGTTTCCTGAAAGCTCAGCACTGGGAATCAGTTGCAAGCTCCTTATTTGGGAGAAAAGCATATTAGAACATTGAGACCTACTGCCCTGTCATTTTCTTCATGCCAAGAATGCTCAGAACTTTGTATTTTGCTGTCCATCTTGGAGCACATCTCATCTTGCAGCTGAAATATAAATCCATTGAACTTTTCTTATCTTTAGCAGGTTTATACAAGCCTGGAGGGAAGGGTCCACTCCTATCTCTAGGCTGTAGCTGAATCCTTGTTGAACATCTTTATTGTGCTATTTCTAAAAACTGAAAAAAGTTCGGTTCTGGAAACCTCATCTCTTTTTTACAGCCCTTGATTCCCCATGTGGGAGGCAGTCCTTTTTCTACCTCTTTTACACAGTTTTCAGACTTTCCTCCTTGTGGCTTTCACACTGAGTGGAATATTGTGGCTATCACTGCTTTCTTCTTCTCCTCCTTCAATGCACTAAAAATAATAATTAAAAATTGCAAATGTCTTCTTCTGTTTTTAGGTATGAAGCTGGCAGTAGCACAGAAAACTGCACTGGGCAACGTCCTGGTCAAAAATGCTGGTATTTCTTCAGAAAGTACCAGCAGCCAGAGCTTCAGTGAGCTCAGCATGGAATAAGAATGGTAGAAGAAAAAGTTCTCTCACCATTTCCAATCAGCATCCAGACATCCAGTTTAGCACTTCTCCAGAATTTTCAGCCATTGCAAAAATTTCTAGGTGCAACAATTTCCTTTAGTCTCTGCAGCAAAGGATGGCTGAAAATCCCCCTTGCTAAGAAAGCAGAGGAGAGCTTTGCAGATACACCAGATGAGCAGAAAATAAATAAGTGGGACTTAGAGCAAACCATGCCAGTGCTTCCTCTTGACCAAATTGAGGTGGTCATACTTTGAACACATCAAAAGAAATCAAGGCTCACTGAAGAAGGCAATGATGTTGGGCAAAGTTGAAGGCAGAAGATAAAACAGCAGACTGAAACTGAGATGGAATGAATTCATAAAGGAAGCCACAGCACTGAGCTTGGAGGAGCTGAATGGAGTTGTCATGGACAGAAAATCTGGGAGTGCTTTCTTTTATGGGGTAACCATAAGTTGGAAATGACTTGACAGCACAGAACAACAACAAAAGTAGATTTCTGCAATGTCACCTTACATTTCATGCACTGTCAAGTTTGAACCTTAATGTTCATACCAGGGTAGATGCAAACGTGCATATGAACGTGGGAGATTATCATGCATTTTTCCTCTTCATCTTCTCTCCTTGACCCTCTGTTGGTTCATCCACTTTTATTAGCTACAGTCTCCTGGGAGACAGGGACATAGTCTGCTGTTGCATCAAGTAAGATGCAAAACACAACACACTTTCCGGATTTTGATCTTTCTCTTTCCTATAGAAAAATTCTTGTGTTTCAATCCTAACATAGCACAAGAAATGGAGAAAGTTCCTTACACTGGACTGTCAATGCTCACTTCCTGAGAAGGGTGTTCCTCAAAGGAAGGTGTGCTTAAAAGGTAAAGGATGTGAGAAGCCATCCCACCAAGGAGGAGGTCCCCTGGCTGATACCACTCATGAGGAACAGAGGAGGGATCACTCCTAGGACATGCCACAGCAGCTACTTGGCAAGCAGTTTGAAGCAAAAGGATCAGGGACCACTTAAACACCACCATATGAAAGGAAAATCTCCCCTTAGATGCAAAGTCTCTTGTGGCCACCTGCAGCTTCAAAAGCCACATAGCTTATGCAAGCCTTGTTGAATAGCAGAGGACTTCTTCGGTATGCTGTGTAAATAAAAGCATCTCTCCCTTTTAATGGACATCAACAACATGGGGCAACCATGCCCACAAGGATCTGCAAGGTACGCAGGACCAGGACAATCCCCTACAGTGGAGGGAAGCAATTCTCCAAGTTCAACCTGGCAAGGTCCCACCTTGCCCCTGATCCTTCTTGGCAAGTTGGAATGGCAGGTGTGGAGGTGTATATAGTCACTTGTTGACTTATCCCAGCTTTTTTTCTATTAGTTTCTGAAAAGTTACTTCAGGTTGTCATGGATAATCAATGTATTCAGATAATTAAAGGGGAGATAATTGCCTGTGCAAAGCTGAGTTTCTAAAGTGAAAGCATTGCAGGAAAACATATTGTCTGTGTTTTGATTTCTTCTCTCATCTGGGGATGCGCAAACCAGAATCACTCTGTGAAGTTCTGCAATTTTCTTCTTAAAGTTCATTTTCTCCAAACCCCATAGAAGATTGCTTATTTTCAATATTGTGGACATATTTGGCATGAGGGCCATTTTCCTGTGTTTTAAAACACACTTTTCAAAATAATATTTCCCCCCACAATGATAAACCTTCAGGAGTAAGTAGGTGGGGGTGCATGAATATGGGCATATACATAGATGTATGCCCGCCAGTTCATCCACCCCAAAAAAGGAAAAGGAAGATCAGAAGTAGGACCAAGACAATGACTGGACTGGGGCCAGGATCATACTAAACGAAACTGAAGTAGGCCATATAGAATGGAATGGAACCCCTATTTAGCCTTGCCATAGCCCCCATTTTAAAAGGAAACCTGCATTTTTAACTATAATGGTCAAAAACCATGTGCTATTAATAGTGTAGCTGGCACTTCTTCAATTTTCTGAGCACTTTGAGACCCAGGAAAGCGTGAAAAATGTGAACTTTCAGATCCACACACACAGAGAGAAAACATCTACAAATCAGAAGATCTACTGGTCACCTCCCTTAGCTAGAAAAATCCATCTTTAGCTTTGCCTTCACTTGATGGCTCACCCTTTGATGGCTCACAGCATCCGTCTGACATATATGCAGTCTTAGATTAGCCTCCTGCTCTTTGAACAGGAATTATTTCCCAGGAACCTGACAAGATGGGATTATCATTTCAGATCCCATCAGTGAGGCTCAAATTACATCTCATAATTAAAGACACATACAAGCACACACACTTCCTTGATATGGGACCCTGGGAGAACTGGGTTCTAGTCCCCACTCAGCCATGAAGTTAGCTGGATAACTTTGGGTCAGTCACTCACGCTCAGCCTAAGTTACCCTCATGGTTGTAATTGCAAGAACTGAATGGAGCAATGTAAGCCTTCCCCTTAAGCTTGCTTTGCTTAATTTCACCACCTTCCTTTACGGAGTAGTGAACCTTCCTTCATTGATAAATAGGATACTGCATCTCTTTGCAGTTGACAGATAAACCATCACAACTGATAGTGGAGGTTGGTGAGTGGGCTGCGGGGGATCGGCAGCCTGCAGGGCCAAGCAGTAAGTTAAGGGAAAATATAGAACGGATATGTACAGATACATCCCCACTCAATATTTCATCAAAGAGTACTGAAGCATATTAACCTCCAAGATTCTATTAGATAGTGCAGAGACTGGCCAATGATGCACCCAACCTGTTGGCTTCATCCCATGAAAATGTGTATGCTCTAAGGAGAAATTTATAGATAATTTGATGTACATATCTATGCTGTAATAACCTTTGTGGTCATACATTTCTTAGACTAACAATAAACTAGGAAAAAAGCAGACAGAGACCTTATTTTTTCCTCTTTATTAGTTTCTCCGTCTTGTTCAACTCAGGTCTCAGCATGATGATGTAGCATTTAGGAGAAAAGATGCAACCTAGCAATGCTGCAGCAGAAGACACAATTGAGAAGATCTCCACAGCCACCATGTCTTTTCCTTTGGTGCTAAAATAGGTGGGAACAAAGGAAACCCACACTGTGCAAAACACCAGCATGCTGAATGTAATAAACTTGGCTTCATTAAAGATGTCAGGCAATTTGCGGGCTTGAAATGCCACAAGAAAGCTGGCAATGGCCAAGAGTCCCAGGTAGCCTAGGACACAGGAAAACATGACAACAGAGCCTTCATTGCATTGGATAATTATTTCCTTGGTTCTGAAGTGCATGTCTAAATCAGGGAAGGGAGGAGAGGTTGCCAACCACATGATATTAATGTTTACTTGAATAAGGGAGCAAATTAGGACAATGGAAAGGGGCAACCTTTTGCCCACCCATTTCTTTATTCTAGATCCAGGCTTGGTGGCAATGAATGCCAGAGAAACAGTGCATGTTTTTGCCAGAACACAAGAAACAGCCACGGAAAAGGTGATACCAAAAGCTGGCTGTCGGAGAAGGCAATTCACTTTCCCAGGTTGAGCAAGGAATAGCAAAGAGGACAGGAAGCAGAGCAGGAGAGAGATGAGAAGAATGTAGGTGAGGGCCCGGTTGTTGGCTTTGACTAGAGGAGTATCTTTGTGCTTAATAAATGTTCTGAGCACCATAGCTGTGATCAGGGAAAAAGAAAGAGAAGCAGAAGCTAAGCTGCCACCTATAGGTTCATCAAAAGACAGAAAGCTTATCATCTTGGGAATGCATCTGTTTCTGTCCTTGCTTGGATATTTATCTTCTGGGCATCTGAAACAATCATCCATATCTGGAAAAAATAGAAACAGGCTCCATTTCAGTGCCAGTTCATGTGTTAGCTATGGACAGATCTCACTGTGCTTCAACTATGGCACTTGTGGTCACAGATCAACATTTCCAGGTGTGCTGAAGTTTATATGCAGAAGAAATTAATCTCCTGCTGTTTATGCCTAACATCATAATTCACTTCACTGTTGTTCAAACTTGTTAAGGGATATGTTAAAGATTAAGTGGAGCACCACAATCGTTTCCATGTTTATACAGGAGAAATTGCACCTGCTGATTCAAATAAGCAGTCATAGAATTCCAGCTTTTTTCCAGCTATAATTTGTTTAAATTATTGCCATAAAATGATAACTGGGAAGGGGGTAAAGGAATGTTTGCACGGCATTTCAAGGAGGCTTGCAAAAAGCCTAGCTGTTAAAAGGACACCATGTTTATGTATCACTCCTAAATACCTGAAAGGAACACCTCCTTCCTTATAGAATGGACAGCATATAAAAGCTTTTGATAAATAATAAATAAATCATCTGAATTAACTTGTTATGGTGGAAAAATGGGGGTATCATATCACCAACCATTCTGACTTGAGATCTTCCCTCCTTGGCATGGAACACAGTCATAGCAGCAAAATTTTTCACCTTCCAAACTTTTCCTCTGATAACCAGGGTGACAGTGTTCATTACAAACAGAAAGAGGGATCACCTATTCAGAAATTAAAAATAAATTTTAGAATGCATGAGAATAAGGACTCATTTGAGTTCCTCCATGGTGGATTGTGGGAATGTTGTAGACATAGCATATCTTAACTTCAGCAAAGTTTTCACAAAGTGCCCCATGACATCCTGATTAGCAAACTAGCTAAAAATGGGCTAGATGGTACAATGATCAGGTGGATCCAAAGTTAGCTACTGAATCAGACACAAAGAGCGCTCATCAATGGCACCTTCTCAAACTGGGGAGCAATAAAAAGTGGAGTATCAAGTCCTGGGCCAGTACTCTTTAACATTAATGATTTGGAGTAGGAACAGTAGCAAATGAATATAAAATTTGCAGATGACCCAAAACTTTCTAGAAGACAGGAAGGAGATTCAAACTGATCTTGATAGGTTGGTGTGCTGAGCTGAAAAGAACAGAATTAAAATCAATAGGGACAAATGTCAAGTTCTGCACCTAGGAAAAAGAAGCCAATTGCATCATTTTATGACTGGGAATACTTGGCTCAACAATACTGTCAGAATATTCAAAGAAATAATATTTTTTTGCCATCCTGTCCCATCCTGCCAAAAAGATGCCCTGGACCCTTGACTGCTTTGTAGTGGCAGGCAAAGGTTTTTTGCTACAAGCACATGTACCAGGTGCCATACATGACATGGCTTAGCCTAGCTAATGGTTGATCAGGGTTGGGTAGCCCCTGACTGAAAATGGAGAACTTTGTAGCCACCACTCAAAACATACAGACACATACATGTTTGGTTTTGTCACAGGTTTGACATGTGTGAAATATGCGTTGCATTCCACATGTCATGAAAATAAAGATCTGAACTGAAAGCATAACTTTATTCTCAAACTAGGAATAGAGGGATTAGATGTCTGGCAATTCCATGCCATAGTTTGATTTTGATTGCTGTGAGTTTGATCTGATCGGCTGTCTCACATGCACAAGAGAATTTGTTTAGAATCTAGCCCTAATTATACAGCAAAAGAAAAAAAAAGGGCCTAAAATTATGCAAAAATTCACACCTGGTTAAAGCCCCTGTGAAACACAATTCTATCTTCACTAATGATCAGCTCTTTTCCTTTGGGAGCATTAGGATTGACCCATCCAACTTTTACTCTCTGGAAGGACTTATTTTGGAATGTAACCAGATTCATGATGTCCAGTCCACCTTCTATTTCCATTCGGTCATTGAAGGACACTGTTTCACCAACTGAGTTGTTAAAGGTGATGCCTTGAAGAAATGGGTGGAGCTAATTGAAGAAGAAAAAAGAAACTCCAAAGCAATAACACAGTCTTGAACATTTTATGACAAGGTTTACAAACACCTTATTTGGTGATACAGTTTATGTCACTTCACCTACATTTGAAAGTTAAGCTATTTTGGGATTGAATGTGGACAGTGCCTTGTGCAGTGATACAAGACTGGAATCATTTCTGGGCTTGAAAGGGAAGAACTCACAAAACTCCCAATAGACAAAGTGAACACATCAATTCTGCAAGCATTCGTTCAGGGGTAAGCTTGGCATAGTCCAACTTTGCATTAATCTGCTCAATGAAATTAAGATAAAGCAAAATAAAACAAACAAGCAACCCTAATTGTTGAAGACATTACCTGCCAAGGCTGCAGACACTCAAGTTCAACTAACTGGCTACCCAGTAACCCTCTATGTTGGGAAATAAATGACTCTGCAGCATGCAAAGCAAGTGCCACGACATAGACAGCATTATAGATACTATAGCTGTGGCCAGTCATGTCCATCTCAAAAAGAGTCCTAGGAAGACTCTCTAGTTTCTCCTCTCCAGTGCATGTCCCACTGAGCATGATGGATTCATTTGGATCTGCAAATGTACAGTCAAAAGCTTGTTCCCAGAAGTCTTTGAGAAAACTGTCTCCTTGGGTCCAATGAGGTTGTACAACCTGAAGAAATTGCTCAAAACCAACAATTTTTTCTGAGTGAATTGTGAAGGAAATGGCACCTTGGAACAATCTAAAATCCCAGGCTCTTTGGTGGCCTGTTGATATGAAATCAATCTGAGTGGTCATAATCCACACTTTCCTAAAAGATGCATTTTCCTTATTTTCAGGGTCTCGTAGAAAAAGGTATGTTTTCAGCCATGTAATTGTCAAAGGTTCCCCACAGAGGATAAATGCATTGGCTTTAATATCTTGAAATGGTACATAAATGCTTGCAATTATACTATAAATTTGATCCATGCCTTCCATTCGAGACTGTTGTGGAATTCTTTGTGTGAAAGCTGAGCATATTGCATTCTGATCAAGCAAGGATTCCAAGATTTTCAAACAATGTTCCCCATGATCACCATCTGTGACAAAGAGCCCAACCCAGGTCCACCCAAAATGCTGAAGTAATAAGATAATCCCTATATACTGATGGGCTTCCTTTGGGGCCATCGAGTAAAAGGAAGAGGCTCGGCCCATGTCATTCTTTTCTTGGGGAAATGAGCCATATGTAAGCTATTGAAAGAAAGACAGAAATTATAAACACCATTTTGAAATAAACTTTTGAACCATGCACCCATGAGTACATAAAATACTGATAAAGATATTTAAAATATGGTAAGAACGAATATCCAAGAATTTGTAGGAATCATTTTCAATCAGTCATATCAGTTCTTCTGAACAACACAATTGCAGATACTCGGCATTTTGCCCACAAGTTCTATCACATACCCTACCTGTGGAATCTTATACAAAAGTAGAATGTCTGCCATATGGAAAGACATATCAAAGCCAATTCCCCCAATAACAGCCATGAGATTTTTCTGAGTCTTGCATCTGTAGTTGGGAACAAATCTGTGTGATCCAAAGAGCAGGTTCAGGGTCGTATGATATGTCATCTTTCCATCATAGTAGCTATCATGGATATGAAATCCAAGTGTGGTATTGGGCAAGATTTTTGGATTCCTGTTGATTTCATTCACAGCAAATGCCAGGGCTAGGGTGTGTTGGTAGAACTTTGTCACCACACTGTAAGAAGAATGATAGTCACATTTCATTAGTTTTGAAACTAAGAAGAAAATTCCCAGTTCATAAAGATGCTATACCACAATTTTGATCGTTTATGTAGTAAGGAAATATGATTTCTGATTTACTGATTTTTTCTGTGCTGGTAAACATGTTATTACACTATGTGTGCATTTAAAGGTGTGGAGAGAGGGGGAGAGAGAGAGAGAGAGAGAGAATGTTTATGCACTCTTTTGACATAAGCTTCCATTCTTGCTTTCTTTTGTTTCCCTTTTTGACTTTGTTTACTAAGTCAAAAGATCTAACAAAAACCCTTTTCTCTTCTTCATCTACTCAGGAAATATATACACACACCAATAAAGAGATCATTTCATGCATTCAGTTAAATATAATGAAACACAACAAATGGAAATTTATTGGTTAGTTCTATTGGACCAAAAGGATAGCTGTATATACAGAATAAAACAGTCCTCTCTGACTCCTGGCTTTTTAATCTTTCTTCATTTCTCTCTTAAATTTCTCATATAGATATTTTGACACAGTGATCAAAGGATATAAGTATGTTCTTAATTCCGGATTTTCACACCAGGCTCAGTAAGCTCTGATCTGGTGAAGCATTATAATTTTATGCCCATAATATAAAGCATGTAATCATTACCACTTTTGACTGCTCTTGAAACAGGAAAGAGAAGTTATATATAGAAAAATTGCTGAAGAAAAAGTGGAAGGCCTGCTATGATTAGCCCCATATTTGCTTAATCTTTTGCAAATTCATCTACAAACTCTTTTTAAAGAATGTATTATACATGCTACAGTATACCGCTTCACAACTAATCATCTCTCCGTATATAGTTTAAAAACAAGAACTGTGAAATCAATTGTAAGTAATCAGGAGATAGAAATTTCAAAAATTTAATCTAAATTATATTAAACTGACTGTCAGAATACTTTAGGCTTTCAATCTTTTTCAATTCTCATAAAATAATTTGATAACCACCTCTTGGACCAGAAAATAGGAAGTCCACAGTTCAATGGTACAGTATGACTTTTTAAGCAGATGATCCTAGTTTCAATTGCTGGAAACACCAGATGGAGTTACAGAAATTTTTGTTTGAAAATATGCAAAACTGGACTAGAGGGACACATATTTCAACCTGGGTACAAGGCAGATTCCTGTGTATCTTTAATTTGACCAAAGCTTATGTATCCACCAAATTTTCCATGTCTTTAAATAATCTCAGCAACAAAACGACCATGTTTATTAATCTATATATAGTGAGATAAGACCAACAATTAAATAGTAGTAATCTTAGTAGCAATATACACATTCTGATGGGAGGAGACACACACACACACACACACACACAGAGAGAGAGAGAGAGAGAGAGAGAGAGAGAGAGAGAGAGAGAGAATTCAAGGATTTCATGGAAATGGCTCAGAGCATAATTACAGGATAAAATTTGAGAATACAAGAAGCCCAGAAATTAACAACTGCATGCTTCCTTAGTTACTGAGAAATTATTCTCAGTAGATATTATTTCAAAAAAGGTTTCAAGGAAGAGAACAACCCAGACTAAGATGGCCAGGAAAGGAACAGGAAGGAAAATAAACCACAAAGGCATATGAGAGGAAAGAAAACATTTCAGAAGCTAAATAGATGGAATGATACAATAGGACAAAACAGACCTGAGGACAATTGAAAATAATAGGGAAATGAATATGTTTTATAGTGAAGGCAACTTGAAATGCATTTTTAAAGTTTTATTCTAAATCCATTATATGTCCATCCAATGTTGCCATTTTCCCCTTAATATAGGTCACAAAAAGATTGATCATTGTACAAGAAAAACAGGAACAGTCTTAAATTAATTATTAATCCCTAGTTATTAACCAGAGAAAGAGAAGTCTTCTGAGAGAGAGAGAGAGAGAGAGAAGTCTGATGTACTTCTTTAAAGTTTTCTTCTACCAATCCACCATATCTTCCCTAATGGATGTGTTCACCTGCACAGTTATTGAACACATCTGCCACATTTTCTCTTCTGCCCACAGAAGAGAAAAAAGAACTCTCAATATGGGAGAACAAAGTCCATATTTAATAAATTGTTGCTAGCATTAGCAGCATGCATAGGATCCAAAAAGTGTGCCAAGCCTACATGTGCTTTCTTAGAGCATTCCATGACTCATATACACTATTAAGTGTGACCTGGCTAAGTTGAGGAGATGCACAGCAAAGACATGGAACATTATTCCTTACTCTGGAACCTGAAACAGTGTCTGAGAAGCATCCTGGTTGAAGAAAACTTCATGGGAAACATAAACAATCTGAGAAGACATTCCACCAATGATGAGGCTGCCTGGCTGGTACCATTCATGTGGAACAGGGAGGTGTTCATCCACAAGACATGCTAGGAAAGGAAGTTGAAGTAGAAACACTGGGAGCTCCACCATCCTAGTATCAAAAATTCTCCCTTCAAAGACTCCCCTGTGTCCACAAGTGGCCTGACTTGAGCAAGCTAAGTTGGGCAGAGCCATCTCCTACCAATGCTCCTACCAAGGCGGGGAAGAACAATTGTGCTTAGCATCCCCACCTTGTGTTTAGCATCAAGAAAATTACAAATGCTGATGTAGATGGCTAACACTCTGTGTTCATGTGTAGATAGTAAGAGGAATGAAGAAATAAAGAAATGAAGAAATGGAAGCAATGCAGTCCTGCCTGCCTCTTGCCCCTGCTTCCAATTCTCCATGGCACAGGGCTTTATAAACACATTCAGGCTTCTTAACTGGTTATTTCCTAGTGTTGTCTGGAAAGCCTTTAGAGCTCTGTTCAGGTCAGGAAAATTATAGAGCGTGGGAGAATTGCAGGGAGAGATAATTGCTCCTTCAGACTTTTAGCCTTTAGTAGAAGGCTTGAGAAAACATTTTTCACTAGATCTTACAAGAGCTTTCCTCTAGCATGTCAAAGTGGCAAATAAACTACAATGAACTTCTTCAAGTTAGTCTGTCTACAAGTTTTGGAATGCAGCGCCCATCATTTCTGACTGTTGGGCATCCTAAAAAGAATTGATGGGAGTTAGAGTCAAAACCATTGGGAATGGATCAGACTGGGGAAGGTTGGATCATATGGCAAACAAACGCCAACATGGAATTAGGTATGCAGTAAATCAACAAAAACAACAACAGCAGCAACAACAACAGAGAGAATTACATAAAGATTTCAGCCAAGGTAGCCCAGGCATCCATGCATTGGTCCATTCATAAATTATGCTTTAAAAACACCTGTTCAAATTTGAAAATCTCCAACAAGTCCTCAGCCTACTGTGTTTTTGTAGGTGGATGCTTGCCTTTCCAAAGATGTCAATATTAGACTTTTACTTGTCTGAAGGGCATGGAAAATTCATTTATGGTGACCTTGTGTTAAGTTTGTTTGTTTAAAACATTTGTATGCCCCCCCATTGTACCACAGCACCACTAAGAAATTCGAAGAAAGGGGTAGATACTTAAGAATAGCACACATATACATGAATGCTTTCATATCTACCAATCAAGAGATAATAGAAGAATCTCTAGAAAACAGTGTTGCTCAAAATATGTGATAACTATATTGAGATAACTCAGAAAAATGCTACTGAAGAATATTCCTTCTTCCATGAATTGCAGGTTTTATTTTGCAATCCTCATTCTTATGCATTGTCTTTTATGTATTTCTAAGTGGAAGGAGCACAGAAGTGAGCAGATATAGCTTGTATCTGCCTGCCCGAACTGGAGCCCTGTAGACACATTTTCGACTAGAAGTCCTGCCATATCTGAGCAGCAGCCAGGTTCGGCATAATGGCTGGGAATAGAAGGTCAAACCACTCGAGGACAAGATGTTAAGAGAGGCCAGAATATTCAAAAACTCAGGCATTATCTTTAGGCCCACAGAATTCCATGTAGATTTATGCATATCCCCTAAAAAGGAAACACATTGCATTAAGGGAATAGCAATCAATCCTAAATGGACCAAATCCAGTGGACATTAATCAATCCATTCCAAGTATAAACTAATGTGGACCCAACTTCCTGTCTCCATCCCACATGGAAGAAATAAGTGATGTGCAATAGAAGAATTCACTAATCACTTTCTCTTTATAAGATGCTCCCTAATATTCAGGTCAGGTCTCAACACAATGATGTAACATTTGGGACTAAAGATGCAGATCAGTAACCCTGCACCTGATGCCAAACTGGAGAAGATCTCCACAGCTACCATGTGTTTGCCTTTGGTGCTCAGGTAGGTGGGAACAAACAACAACCAGACACTGCAAAAGACCAGCATGCTGAAAGTGATAAATTTGGCTTCATTGAAACTGTCTGGCAACTTCCTAGCAAGGAAAGCCACTGTGAAGCTGAGAACAGACAGAAGGCCCATGTAGCCGAGCACAAGGAAA